ATAGATAGATAGATAGATAGATAGATAGATAGATAGATAGATAGATAGATAGGTAATTTGATTAAGTACATAAGATGATTCGCCAATGGAATGGGTTTTTTTATATATACTTGGACTTAAAATACGACAATACAATTGTTTGTTCTTAGTTTAAATTTAAAGTATCTTGTTCCATTGGCAAAGTGTCTCACTCACCTCATCGATTTAAGAAAAAAGTGACTTATTTAGATTTCAATTTTTTGCAATGTACATAGATAGATGGATAGATGGACGGATAGATGATAGATAGATTCAAAGACACGAGTTTCACTTTATTCAGAGACACATCACATGGTAAACCTTGATTCCTGACTGCAGTTTGATTATGTAGACTCTTAGCGCCGCTGTTGCATTAAAGTCTGTTGAGCTAGTACGTGTGTGAAGCTGCTGCCTCTCCTTTTAATCTCGCCGGGATACAATGGGGAACTAGAAACCGTCGAATATTTCCCGAAGGAAGACGGTTATTTCAAAAACTCAAAGTGTTCTTTCTCACATTATGGATTTTTTACCCTGTTAATGTTTCATCATCAAACGTTCGGATTTAACGTTGGATGATTATTACCGACATTCTTGTTTGGATTAAAAGCCTCTGCGTCATCGGGAAAAAATAGAACGAACAATGAAGGGGCAAGTACTGCTGTATTTCTCTTTCATCTGCCTCGATTCCATTATTGCGCAAATAAGCTACTCTATTCCGGAGGAGATGCCAATTGGTTCATTGATAGGAAATGTTGCACAGGACTTAGGTTTTGACAAAAAGCGTTTTATATCAGGCAAAGCAAAGATTCACAGTAGGAACAGCGGTGACTACGTAGAGCTGAACAAGGACAACGGAGAGCTCCTCGTAAAAAAGAAAATCGACAGAGAGGCGCTGTGTGCAGATATGACGGTTTGTAGTTTGGATTTTCAGATAATTCTAGAAAACCCTATTGAATTTTACACTGTTACTGTTCAGATAACAGATATCAATGACAATGCACCGACATTTGATAGAGGCGAGATGATATTTAGAATAAGCGAATCGGCAACACCAGGAGCAAAATTTGTATTAAGGAGGGCGGAGGATCTTGATGTTGGAATCAATGGCATTCAGAACTACGAATTAAAACCAAGTGATAATTTTACTCTAAGGCTTAATAAAAATCTACAGGATGTGGAGATGGTTTTACAGAAGCCTTTAGACAGAGAGAAACAAGAACACATGACTTTAGTACTAACAGCCCTGGATGGAGGAGAGCCGCACATGTCTGGAACTATGATCATTCTAATTACAGTTTTAGATGTTAATGACAATGCTCCTCGTTTTACTCAGCAAACGTACAAAGCAGCTGTTAATGAAAATGTGCCCACAGGCACCGTCATTTTTTCTGTAACAGCTTCCGATGCAGATCAAGGTTTAAACAGTAAAATAACATATTCGATCACAAATACGCAAACAAATGTTAGAAAACTATTTCAGGTAAACAAGAACACTGGCGATGTTTCTCTAAAAGGAAATATTGACTTTGAAAGGAATAAGAACTTTGAAATTATCGTAGTTGCTACTGATGAGGGCGGGCTTACTGATTCTTGTAAGTTAATGGTTGAAGTCCACGACATTAATGACAATAGGCCAGAAATTAGTATTATGTCAAAGTCGAATGTGATATCGGAGAATGTTAAAATAAACACAGTTGTTACAGTGATAAACATTGAGGACAAAGACTCGGACGAAAATGGGAATGTAAACTGCTTTATAAATGAAAATACACCATTTGGTCTGAAATCTTCAACAAACAGTTTTTATAGTTTAATTACAGACAGCGAATTAGACAGAGAGACAACCTCTGAATATAATATTACATTGATCTGCTCTGATAAAGGAGAACCCTCCCTCACCAGTAGTGTTACTCTTACATTGCAGATATCTGATGTAAATGACAATGCTCCTACCTTTGATAAGACTTTATATGAGTCCAGCATTGTAGAAAACAACAAAGCAGGTCTCTCAATATTCACACTAAAAGCAACAGACGCTGACTGGGGCCAGAATGCTCGTGTCTCTTACATACTGGAAGACTCCACTATTAGCGGAGTATCAGTCTCGTCATATGTTTCAGTCAGTGCTGATAGTGGAATTATTCACGCAGTTCGCTCTTTTGACTACGAGCAGATCAAAGATTTTCAATTCCATGTTAAAGCGCAGGATGGAGGCTCTCCTCCATTAAGCAGCAATGTGACGGTGAAAATTCTTATTCAGGACCAGAACG